GGGGGGGGGGGGGGCGGCTGGAGACGCCGGGGGAGGAAGGTAGCGGGGACGGGGGAAGCTGGGACGGGCCCGGACCGCAGGAACCCCAGCCCCATACAGCAGCCACCCCCGCGAGAGAGAAAGAAAGAGGGCCGGGGAGGCGGGCGAAGCTCAGGGAGAGAAGCACAGAATAAATATTCACCTTCCCGCCTCATGCCCACTTTGAGGCACTTCTTGAGGCGGCAGTATTGGCACTGGTTGCGGTGGTGCTGGTCGATGGGACAGTTCCTGTTGGCACGGCATGTGTAAGTTAAGTTCCTGCGGACGCTCCTCTTGAAGAAACTTTTGCAGCCCTCGCAGGTGAACTGGCCGTAGTGCTTGCCGCTCGACTTGTCCCCGCACACCACGCACTCGATGTGCTGCTGGCTCTGGCCCGAGCCGGGCGGGCCCTGGCCCTTGTCCCCTGCCGTGCCGGGGGTGGCGGGCGCTCCGGGCTGGCCCGGGGTCTGCGGCGTGTGCGGCGCGCCCGAGCCCGCCTGCTGCTGCTGCTCGCCGGCGCCGCCGCCGCCGCGGGCCGCCTGCGCTGCGGGGTTGGGGCAGCCGGGGTTGCCCCCGGCCACGTCGTCCTGCGGATCTCGCCAGCTGCTAACTACCATTGCCATATCTTTGGGCCCGGGGAGCGCTGGGGGGAGCCGAGCTGCTCGCCGAGGGCCGCGGGGCGCGCGGGAGCGCTGGGAGGGGAAGGGGAAGGGGAAGGGGGAGGGGGAGCCTCGGCCGCCCCGCTGCTGCTGCGCGCCCGCCCGCCCGGCTGGCGTTTTGTTGTGGTTCCTGCTGTTTTCTTTCTCTCTTTTTGCAGCCCCCCCAGGCTCTCAGGCTCCCCCCCAACACCCCTGCTCCCCTCGCCCGCTCCCCCCGCGCTCCGATCCTGGGGGGGCCACGCTCTCCTTCCCCCCCTCCCCACCCCCCCCCAGCGAGCAAGCTCCCTTCTCTCGCTTTTTTCTTCTTCACCAAGTTGCAAAATCAGAAATGGCACAGGCGGCAGCCGGTAGCGGCGCGGGGCGCAGCGCCGGGGGCGGCGGGCATGGGCCACGGCGCGCGCACACACTCACCCTCCGCCTTGCCCGCACCCCCGCGCACACACACACTCGCACACACACTCGCTCACCCGCGCCGGGCGCCCGCCCGCCCGCCCGCCGGCCACTGGGGCTACGCGCTGTGCGCCGGCAGAGCAGACATAGAGGAAGCCGGCGAGGGCGGCGGCGGCGGCGGCGGCGGAGGAGGAGGAGGTCGAGGTTGCAGGCGCCTCTGGAGCCGCTGCCTCAGCTGCAGCAGCGGGCGCCGCTGGAGGAGCCGGGGCCCGGGCCGGAGTCCGAGCTGGAGTCGGGGCTGCAGCCGGAGCGCGAGCTCGGGTCGGGGCCGCCCGCGCCGCCGCCGCTGTCCCGGCGGGAGCCCTCGCTGGGCTCGGGATTGAGGGGAGCGCGGTGAGCCGAGCAGGGCGCGGGGCGAGGCTGCCGGCGGCGATCAGAGCGCGCTGGTGTCGGGGGGCCAGGTCCAGGGCCGGACGCAGCCAGCCATTCAGGAAGGCAGCGCTGGAGAGCGGGAGGCAGCCAGCGAGGAGGATCACACACTTTGCTCTTTTTGTTGTGCCGGTGGCGCCGGGCTCTCGCTGCCTTTTTCTTTCGGGAGGTGACGGAGGGGGAGAAAAACACGAGATAATTCACGCCGGCGACGAATTCACAGCGAAACAGAAAATATAAAAATCAGAAGAAAAAGAATTGCAAAAAAAAAAAAGAAAGAAAGAAAAAAAAAACGAGAGAGACATCCAAAGTAGGTCGAATAAATAATCCTCTTCTTTTCCTCTTTCTTGCTCCTTCTTCTGCTTCTTCTGCTATAACACACAGAGCTAGTTAAAAAAACCCTGGAGATCGCCCAAAAATGTTCTTTTTTTAGTATTTTAAATAAGTGCTCTTCAGCCGGGAACCAACACCCTCCCTCCAAAAAAAATCATATATGTATAAAATAACGATAAGAAGAATACGAAGGGGGTGCCTCCTCCTCCTCCTTTTTTTTTTTTTTTTAAGTTTAGCCCTCACTCTTCTGCAGGAATGGAGTAAAAGGGACAAGGAGGAGGGAGAAAAAGGAGAGAAAGAAGAAGAATACGGGGGAAACAACTAATAGAATATGTAAAAAAAGAGAAAGGGGCGAGAGGAGAGGGGGGAGAGAAGAGAGAAAGAGAAAGATTGAGAGAGAGAGGCGGAGGAGAAAGAGAAAGAGAGAGAGAGAGAGAGAGAGAGAAGAGAGAGAGAGAGAGAAAAAGAGAGAGAGACCCCAGAATTGAATGCGTTTAAACGGGAGGACTCGCAGAGCAGTGTTTCCGAAAGGGGGATCTGCGCGAATGTCTGTATATAGTGAACTTTGACACTACTATTGAAACTGACACGTTTCTATGGAGATCGCTGCCTTATATGGAGCTCGTGTCAAGGAGCCAAGAGAAGGGCTGCTGGCAACTGATAATCAAAGGCGACTGACTGGTCAGAGCCCTGAATAGGGGGGAGAGAAAATGGGAGGCTAAGGTTAGCCAAGCCTCCCGAACGCCATTGGTTGGAGAGCCCCTCCCCCCTCCTCTTTTTCTTTCTTTCTTTTTTTTTTTTCTTTCCCCTCCCTCTTAGCTACCTACTTTCGGGTTGGCGAGGGAAGGAGGAGAGAAAGTGAGGGGGGGGGGTGTGCTTCTGACAAGCGCAATTTACATTGAGATCGCCCTGCGCTGCTATTTACTCTGAGACCTGATTAGTATGGGTCGTCTATGGTCACACACACACACACACACACACGCGCGCGCGCGCGCGCGCGCACCAGAGGGGGAAGGGATGGCGAGGGGAAGAATGCCTTGCAATGGGTAAAAACAGAATTAGAAAGACATTATTTTGTTTTCTTCCGAAAAGTTTTTAGAATTATGTTTTATGAGCGTGAAGAGTGTCATTGAAAATGTTAGGAAAATTTTAAATGGGAATTAAACTCTCACCGTTTTAATGATTCGTGAAATATTTTGGGTTTGTATTGTTTTCTTCTTTCACACATAAGCACAATCCAAGAGTGGATTCTGCTCATTTTATATTCCTTTAAGAAACAAAGTAGGGACTCCCTGTTTTTTGGTCCAACGTATATTTTCGTTTTAAAATTAAGGGTTTAATTATGACAAAAATGCACTCCTGGAATTCGCAGCTATTGCCACAAAATCAATCCGAGCCAACGGTTCTCTCCATCCCAAATATGATTTTTAAAATAAACTTTCCAGTCAATCCGATTTTTCCTTCTTCTTTCTTTTCCCTTTTTGGTATCCTCAGGCTGTTCCAAGTTCCTACGAACTCTCCAGTAATTATTAATAAAATGGTAGTAAGTTCTCATATCGTTGGGGGCGGGGTGGTTAGTGCGGCCAAGTCCGAGTCCCAGGAAAAGAGGAAAGAGGTGAGCGAGGACGGAAGGAGATGGGAGATGGGGAGAGGAGGGGGGAGGGGAAGAGGAAGGCAGGAGGGAGAGGGAGGGAGAGGGGAGAGGGGAAGAGGGGGAGAGAGAGGGAGAGGGAGAGAGGGAGAGAGAGAGGGGGAGGGGGGAAGAGAGAGAGAGAGGAGAGAGAGAGGA